CATATATATATATTTTTTATCAAGGGGTTTACCCAAGATTTCAAGAGTTTGTCACAAATTACCAAACCTCTCAAGCATTAATATTAGATTTATGGAGTTTTAATACTTATGCAATAACTTAGCATTAATGTTAAATTGTTTGTATGTATAATTGTTATTTTAACACATTAAGGATGACTACTTTGGCTTTTACGTGTATTTATATCTTGTATTTACATTGATTCCTATGTTCGGTTCTCGTAACGTGATTACTTAAAGTTTTTTAAAATTTTCAACAATATCAAGAAGAGAAAAAATAGCATTGAATCATAGATCTTCTATTCTCTAAAGTTTTTTTAAAATTCCTAACTTAATACAAATTTTATTTCATTTTTGTCTTTAATAAATAATTTTTACAGTTTACTTTATCTTTTAACATAAAAAAATTATATAATAAATCGAGATCTAAATTGACACGCACAAAGCATTTTAATTCGTATATTTTGACACATGATAATAACCATGTTTAAAATTTATTTTTCAAAAAATATATAATTAATTCAGTTTTTAATTGTATTGAGATTTTATTCATTAGGATTAAATATATATTTAGTTTGTACAATTGATTTGAATTTATTTAATAAAAATACAATAATTGTTAACATATGTATATTCTTAAATAATATTAAATTATGTGAAATTAAAAATACAATAATATTAAATTATTTAAAATTAAAATTATTTTAAATATTAATTATATTAAGATTTGAAAGATAAATTATATTTTTAATTTTTTTGAAATTATAATAAAAATCATGTTTTTAAAATAAAAAAAGTAGTGAAAGTTTAAATTTTAAAATTCTAAAATTTTAATAAAAACCGTATTTATAAGATAAAAAACGTAATAGATGTTGAAATTTTATTTTTAAAATTTTAAAATTAACAAAAATCATGTTCTTGAGATAAAAAATGTGATGGATATTAAAATTTTATTTTTAAAATAAAAAACATAAGCAATGTTATTACTCATAATAAAATTAAAATAAAATATAAAAATTTTTACCCAATATTTTTATATATAAAATTTAAAATATATTTATTTAATATTATTACTTATAAAATTTACTCCAAAAGTTTCGCCCCCGAAACCCTGAAGCGGGGAGTTTACCGCACTCTTCCAATGCCCCTAAGTCGATTATCGTACGTAAATTTTCACTTTTAACTTTCTAAATCTAAGGATCCGGGAGATTTTTTTTTTTTCTTTGACCTTTTACGTCAACGAATGAAACGCAGCGTTTGACTTTCCCGTAGCGTTCACCGTTTAAGCCAATAGGTCCATAGCAGTCCCACGCGCTTATATCGGCACTCGCCATTAGCGCCAAGAGCATGAACCCGAATGAGCCTTTCAAACGGGAATTCCGTGATAAGGCGCGTGGCCTTGCCAATAGATGACTAATATACTGCATTATCTTCCAACCAACATTCATTGTCTATATATTTTTTGGCCACACATTGTCTATACTATTTGAAAAAACAAAATTGAATGTTTGCATTTAAATTGAGATCCTAATTAAATAAAAAATTTAATTTAATTATTTTATTTTTATTAAAAATTATACAGTTAGTAAAATTTTAGTTTTATTCTAAAATATTAAAAATTAATATGAAATGTAAAAAGTAGGTCATTAAAAAAAATTCTAAGACAATTAAAAAATAATAAGTAATATAAAATTTAAAATTTCAACATTTACAATCTTTTACTCTCTCGATGATATCTCTTTAAAAAAATAATAGTAAGAGCTGCTAAATATAACATAAGTGTGCAAAGAAGCTAGGTATATTTAATAGTTTAAAATATGATACATTAATATGATATAAATATGATGTGCAAAAAATATAATAATAATTATATATAAATTTAATAAAAAATATATTATATATTTTTATATTAATATAAATTATAATATATAATTTTTATATAAAATATAATATAAATATATGAATTTTGAATATTAAATCGTGGGATCTTCAGCTAAGCATGAAAACAGTAAATGACATTTTGCCATGCAGAGGGCAGAGGCAGTGTGGCTCAAGGCATTTAATCTTAAGATGCAAAGAGATAATTTTTTTATTTTATTTCAAAGGGAGCAGAACCCTACAAAAAAAAAAAGAAAAAAAGAAAGAGAGATTGGAGTCGATCCCTAATCTTATATCTTCAAAAGACTTTTTTAACCATTAAATCAAGAAATTGAAGTCAGGGATAGAAAGTATACATACAAACAGAGGATATTTTGCTTGGCTTGGGCTCAATGGTGGAATTTGCAATTTCCAAAGGCCCACCTACAAGCTTAAAAATAATACCAAATTTGTGGTACTAGCCATAAACCCTAGCACTCAATTAGTTAGTAAATTTACTAACTACATTTTCATACAAAACCTAAACTTCTTCCCATCACATTTCTAAGAAAATCCTTTTGTATTTTTTTTATTTGAGATTGTCAATGTTTGATCCGTAATCACTAAAATTTACTGAAATTAAAAATTTATTATTTTATCAATAAATTACGTAATTATTGACTATTCTTTTATATCTATATTATCATATTTCCGTCATCATGACCACAAATTTTTAGTAAATGGAAAGCTTTGTATGGCATATGACTCACCCACCTAACTTTATTCCTTCCCTTATTTGCTTTTCCCGTCTATTTTTCCAATCATTTTCATCATATTTGCCATAGTTTTGTTTTTATCTCTAAGACATAAAGCTTGTTTTTGGAAAATCTAATTGTCCAAATGGAAGTTTGTTGACAATTCATGTTAGAAGTCAATGGTAAAACTTATTTTAGACAAATAAAGCAAGTTAAAATCAGTGTATGCAAAACCGAAAATTAGCCAAAAAAAAAAAAAAGAGTTTAGATGGTTATGATTTTTTAAAAAAATATATTCGAATAGTTTCTTTTTCATGGCCTTTTCTTTCTCATTTTATTGAAAAATGAGAAAAAAATATTATGTTAAAAAATTCAAAAGTGATAAGAAAAAAAAACATGGGTTCAATTGAATAGTGATTGCAAAAAAAAAAATCATTATTTTTCTCATTTAGGTATTATGCAAACCTTTTCAATGTTATTATTCCTCATCAAATTAAGATAGATGTAAATTAAGCTTTGAGTAGACCTCAACAATGGCATCTAGGGTTCATCACAGCATGGTGGGACAAAACTTTATCTGAATTATGATAATGTTTTATGATTGAATCTATAATTGTAGCGTGATGAACATTTCTCCCATTATGTTATCAAATGAACTCATAATGAGAACATTATTATAGTATAAATTAATTATATTACATCAATACATCCTTATCTACAAATTCAAGGTCGTTTAATGGGGCTGTCATTAACTTAGCTTGATAGTCCCACATCATATTATATTATATTATATTATATATATTCACATAAATTTCAACCTTTCACCTTCTCTTACAGTAATAAATGCATTACACACGAACAATTGTGATTTATGGCTTTATCCTTCATTTTTGTTTCCTTCTCTATAATTGATGTATTTTTCTTCTGGTGGGATTTAATTGACATTGGTATTATTATATCTTTGACAGACCAAAATTCGCATCATAATCAACATATTAAATTGGATCCTTTTTTTTTTTCTAATTTTTTGTGTTCATTTAATTCATAAATATTAGAAATCTTACTTTTATTTCATCTTTCAATGAGGGATTTAAATTTTAAAATGATTATCTGATTCTGATCCTGATCTGTAATTGGATTAAACCAGAATATAAATTAAATAAACCTTTGAGATGCTTGCTGGCTAGCTATATATATTATTATGTAGGACTTTATTAATATTACACTCCATTATTTCATATAGCAATAAGTTTTTTTTTTTTTTTAATCACTACATGAAAAGTCAAACTTCCTTTAAACACCCACCCTTTCTTCTCTTTTCTTGTATTATTTTTTTATTTGACATTGTCAAAAGAGACAATAATAGAAGTTCTTTTCTCCTAAAAATTAAAAAAAAAATCTGCTGCATAATAAACATCCTTTGATGCAGATGCAACTAATGAGATAGATATTTCATAGCATTTTTCTTATTGGGATTATAGTAAAATATGAAATTGATATAATTTTGTTACGAAATTACGATTATAGTGAAATATTATAAATTAACAAAATAATTAGATAAATTTAATATAAAATTAGATCAAATTCACACGATACGATTTAATTTAAAATCTCAAGATTTTAAAATTTTTTTACCACTAAATCAAGACTTTATTTACTAATATATTTTTAAACATTAATAAAATTTTCATGCAGAATTTCATTATATATTTACTTTTATTATTTGTTGTCTGGATAAGAAATTAAAATGTATATCTCAGCAAGCTTAATCAATGTGATGATCCCTCAAAAACATGATGTGGAATCTAATGCATGATTAGAAAAAAAGCTATCTTATATAAATTGTCATCTTTTCCCATCCTTTTCCCTTTTTTTTCCCTTCAACGTTAATTTCATTACAAAAAAAATTGGCGTGATTTTCATTTTTTAACTACACAAAACCTTGATCTTCCATTTCTATGAGAAGAAAGTCATTAAGAATCCCACAAAAAAACGTTGGATGAAAACCTTGAAAATTGATTAGGATATGAAGTTGAAATATTGTCTAAAGCTTGATCATTAAGATATTTCACCAGATGCAATTTGTTTTGATTCCTTTGAGATATAAATCTATCTGCCCACGAAAGCATCAACAAGTGTATTTGAAGATAAGATTAAGGAAAGAGAGACTTCTAAATTATGAAAAAAGAGAGAAAAGATAGCATCAAAGTTGCTTCGTAATAGAATTTACAGAAGGTGAAGAGAGTAAATAAATTTAAAGGTCGCCAAAGGAGATGAAAAAATTATGAAATTTGGTAGCCGTCATTCGTTGCACCGTAGATAAGCAAACTCTACTGGGGGGGGGGGGGGGGTGTCTCCCTTTCTCTTTCTCTCTCTCTCAGCATTTACAGCTTCCCCTCCATTAAATGCAATGGCACCCTCTCAATGCGCTCTGCAATAACTCTTCACTGCCACAATTTTCTCATCTGTTCCCTCTATCTCCTTCCCTTTCTCTCCCCTTTCCTTGCCTCTGCATCATCATCATCATCAACTTCTTCTTCTTCTTCTTTATATCTGTCACTTTCTTGCTTGACCCCATCTCTTTCTGCAACCCCAACACCAACGTCTTATACCATTAAAGTTCAAACCCAAACCACCTGCTTTACCTCTTTCGCAGCACCCCATAGCAGTTTACCGGCAACCCTAAATAGATCCCAAATCTCTCTCCTTCCTGAGGCTTTTCTAGTGTTCTTTATTAGGTCAAAAATTTCTTTGCAGCCAAGTTTTGGTACAGTTTTTCACTTTCTTTTCTCAACCTTTTCAACTTAAACTTTCATTTTCCTATATCTTTTCATCTTACGTTTTAATTCTCAGGCAAATACGAAGAAAGAAACGGAAGAAAGTTGGTTTTGAGACAGCTACAGAGAAGGCATAGTTGGATTCTGCGTGGTCTTCGTTGGGACGTTATTTTTTAATATTTGTCAACATTTAATTTTCTTTTATAGATTCTCTCTCGCTTATACATTGGCATGTAAGAATCAAATATTCTTGGAGGATAAGTATATAAATAAACCGAAGGTCCGAAGGAGAGAATCTTTTCAGCTGCTAAAAAGGAAAAAAAAAACCAGTCAGCTTTGTTTTGTCACTCCATGTTAAATAATCTAAGGAAAACATATCAATCTGAAAAGGGTCGTCTCAACTCAAATCGAAGGACAATTTAAGTAGTTTGAACGAGTCCAAGAAGCTATCGTATATGAACAAATATTGCTTAGGGCTTTTGGGATTCTGAAATATGCCAGCCGGAGTGATGATTCCGGCTAGAAACATGCCGTCGATGATCAGCGGAAACGGGAATGTTACTGGTTTTGGAACATCTTCAGGACTTATCCTTGGACAGGTTAGAACTTTGAGCTCTCTCTCTCATAAATCTGTACTTTCTAAGGCTTCTTGAGGTGATTTTTTTTCAGTCTTTTCAGTTTTCAATTTATGATTGATCTCTTCAGATTTTTTTCCTTTTTCACATTCTTTGACTTTAATAGATTAATGCGTCGTTTCTCATATTTACCATTTCTTCCTACTACTCTCTAAACTAAACAACAATCTTTCTCTCCTTTTCCACTGTTTTGAAACTCAAGAAAATGTGATTTTTAGACTGATTTTGTTGTTTGCGTGGGTATTATCTTGCTATTCCAAGCAAAATCCTTCTCGATATTTGAGAAACGCGTAAACCCTTTCTTTTCATCTGCAAAGAGAAAGAAAAAAAAAAAAACTCTATAAATTAATCTAGCTCCAGTGCTCCTCATATTTAGTCAAATTACTGCCATAACATGCGTTTGTCGCATAAAAATCTAGTCTACTTATCAGCAATCCGTACACTCAAATTTCAAATGGTTTGCATTTGGTTTTGCCTACCACTTTTTGTAAGTTGATCAGATCATAGCATTTTCATACGTGGGAGATGAGTTTTTTTTTTTTTTTTTGGTTTATTTTTGAGTGGGGAATTTTCCATTCTGTTTGTTTTAGATTGAAAAACCATAAGCTTCGGAATCTTAAAGATCTGTAGATAATGTTCCAGCCTAACAGCATGATGGAAGGTCAACTCCACCCTCTTGAGATGACCCAAAACACATCTGAAAGTGAAATTGCTCGAATGAGAGATGAGGAATTTGACAGTACAACCAAATCCGGTAGTGAAAATAATGAAGGTGCCTCTGGGAATGATCAAGATCCTCGTCCCAAAAAGAAGCGTTACCATCGCCATACCCAGCATCAGATCCAAGAAATGGAGGCGTAAGCTAAAAACCTTTTAATCGACACATTTTTTCAACAACAGTAATCCTGTTAACAAAAATTTGTACTTTTTTAATAGATTTTTCAAAGAGTGTCCACACCCAGATGACAAGCGAAGGAAGGAACTTGGGCGTGAGTTAGGGTTAGAACCATTGCAAGTGAAGTTTTGGTTCCAAAACAAGCGCACCCAAATGAAGGTATAAGAATAACTAACGTTTCATTTGCTCTTTAACTTAGGCCTTTGGCTTGAAATTTACCAATATTTGAGGACCTGAAATAGCTCAAATGACCGTTATAAACTCTGGTTCTTCCCTAATAGAAGCTCAACCAAGCTAGCTTGGCTCATTTCAAACGTCAATGCTTTTCTTCTACAGACCCAGCATGAGCGCCAGGATAACACACAGCTTCGAACCGAGAACGAAAAGCTAAGGCTTGACAACATGCGGTACAGGGAGGCTCTGAGCACTTCTTCATGCCCAAATTGTGGAGGTCCAACTGCTGTAGGACAAATGTCCTTTGATGAACACCATCTGAGACTTGAAAATGCTCGACTAAGAGAAGAGGTATCTAATTATGTTATAGCAAACTTTAATTACATTTTAGTTTAAACTTTAAATGATTCTAATTTATTATTAATAATTGTTTTTGAGAACTATGCAGATTGATCGTATATCAGCAATAGCAGCAAAGTATGTTGGCAAGCCAATGCTGAACTATCCTCTACTTTCTTCTCCTATGCCTCCTCGACCACTTGATTTCGGTGCACAACCTGGCACTGGAGAGATGTATGGTGCCGGGGAACTTCTTAGGTCAATCGGTGCACCTACTGAGGCTGATAAGCCGATGATTATCGAGCTTGCGGTGGCAGCTATGGAGGAACTAGTTAGAATGGCTCAAATGGGTGAACCCTTATGGATCACCAGTCTTGATGGCACAAACTCCATGCTGAATGAAGAAGAGTATATTGGCACGTTTCCTAGGGGAATTGGGCCAAAACCTACTGGCGTCAAATGCGAAGCTTCAAGAGAAACTGCTGTTGTTATCATGAACCACATTAACCTTGTCGAGATTCTTATGGATGTGGTAAGATTTTATAATAATAGTATCCATCAATTCCCTGAAAATTGAACAAGCCAGCCATCAAGGCAAGTACTAATTTTTGGGTTTCTGTTTTGAAATTCAGCATCAGTGGTCAACTGTGTTTTCGGGAATAGTTTCAAAGGCTTCAACTTTGGATATTCTATCAACAGGGGTAGCAGGGAATTATAATGGAGCCCTGCAATTGGTAATGTGGAATTCCATATTTACTTGAATAATAGTTTAAGATTCAACTTTATTCTATGCTGGTTGTTAATTTTTACTATTATTTTTTGTGACATTTTCGTTCTATTTAATTTCTTAGATGACAGCTGAATTTCAAGTCCCTTCACCTCTTGTCCCAACTCGTGAGAGTTACTATGTAAGATACTGCAAACAGCATGCAGAGGGAACTTGGGCTGTGGTTGATGTTTCATTGGATAATTTACGCTCTAGTCCAACTGTGAGATGCCGAAGAAGGCCATCTGGATGTTTAATTCAAGAAATGCCCAACGGGTACTCAAGGGTATAACTAAAACTATTATTTTCAAATGATCATAGTCAAAACATGTGCTTTTTACTACATAGCATTTCCAATTCTACCTCAATCAATGGCTGTATGCAATATAGGTTACATGGGTTGAGCATGTAGAAGTGGACGATAGAGGTGTTCACAATCTATACAAGCAGCTGGTAAGCTCCGGTCATGCTTTCGGAGCAAGACGTTGGGTTGCCACTTTAGATCGACAGTGCGAGAGGCTTGCAAGTGTCATGGCTACTAACATTCCCACTGGTGATGTTGGGGGTAATAATAACTATAAATATTCATTTCTAGCTGTTAATAATCTCCGGTGCTGATGTTAAGATATTTTGATATTTGGTCAGTCATAACAAATCAAGATGGGAGAAAGAGTATGCTGAAGCTAGCTGAGCGAATGGTAATAAGCTTCTGTGCTGGAGTGAGTGCCTCTACTGCTCACACATGGACGACATTATCTGGAACTGGAGCTGATGATGTAAGGGTCATGACAAGAAAGAGTGTAGATGATCCAGGTAGACCTCCTGGGATTGTGCTAAGTGCTGCAACTTCCTTCTGGCTTCCTGTTTCACCAAAAAGGGTATTTGATTTCCTTCGAGATGAGAATTCTCGAAGTGAGGTATGTCAAAGCAATTAAAGAACTCTATATGGATTTTTTTCCCTGCATATTGCATAATGAAATTTATATCAAAAGGCAATAACTTAACTCAATTGATTAGATATTGTTGCATAAATATTTTTTTTCTGTTTCTTGCTAGGCTTGTATATATAGGTTTCAACCGACTCCATTTATGTTAGGTAGTCGATTATGGTAACTTCGTTTATTTTTGTATGGGATATAAAGTTTAGTTTGTTGATGTTGTTGCAAAAAAATTGCAGTCTAAAGAATTCTTTTAAACTGTAAAGTACTCATTGGTAATCAGCAAAACACATGATAAACAATCAAATGAAAAAACATGAGTTTTATGGCCTCAGGCAACAATTTAACAATTTACATATTTTTCATGTTGATCCTTGTGATTTAGCATATTTTTTATAACTAAGATTTTATAGAAAATAATTGTAAGTGATTTCAACCCCTATCCAAAAAACTTGTTTTTTGTTTATGGTTAGCTACATTTATTTTTAGCCAACAGATCGATGGCTTAGTAATCATGTTGTATTAATGTAAGATTACTTGAATGCCTATAATTCGAAATTAAAGTGTTCTTTATAAAGATTTTTAAGTAGTGCAAGAAAATTTTCTTTAGTGTTTGAAATTGTCAAAATGAATTGATCCTACAACTTGGTTTCTCCTAAATACAGTGGGATATTCTTTCTAATGGTGGAGTTGTCCAAGAAATGGCACACATTGCTAACGGTCGGGATACAGGCAATTGTGTTTCACTACTTCGAGTAAATGTAAATTTTCATATACTAAAGTTATTTTAATTTGTTAATTTATATTGTGGGGCTTATCTTCTTAATATGAAATAAATTTGTACAGAGTGCAAATTCAAGCCAAAGCAACATGCTGATTTTACAAGAGAGTTGCACTGATCCAACAGCCTCTTTTGTAATCTATGCTCCTGTCGATATTGTTGCCATGAATGTAGTCCTAAATGGAGGGGACCCGGACTATGTCGCCCTTCTTCCCTCAGGTTTTGCTATTCTGCCCGATGGAACTACAGCGACTGCTGGTGGCATTGCTGATGCCGGGTCTGGTGGATCTCTTCTAACTGTTGCATTTCAGATTTTGGTTGACTCAGTTCCTACCGCGAAACTTTCTCTTGGATCGGTTGAAACAGTTAACAATCTGATTGCATGCACCGTTGAAAGGATAAAGGCTTCACTATCATGCGAGAACGCATGAACTGCCACAGCTTTAAATTGTAGCTAGCTAGGTATGTTAACACAAACTTTGAAGCTTTGACACCTTTTTTTTCTCTTGAATCCTGAGCAAATACTTGAACAATTTGCCAGTTTTGAGCGTTTGACACATGTTTCTTCATTCATTGAATCCTTTTACCTATTCCTAAGCATTTTTTCGATAAATTTTTAGATTACTTCAAGTATCTAAACATTACTTGTATTTATTTTTTGATGCAGTGATTAACAGGAGAAGGAAAGAACAATGGTGTCAATGAATTTTGGAATTATAGAAGAAGGGGAGAAGTCAAGAGCGCACCTTGCATATATGATCCTCTTTGACATTTGTTTGGGGGAAACGAAAGTGACCTAAGCAAATTCATCTAGTGTTCAATATCAGTTAGAGGTTCGGGAATTGACTTCCCCAAGAAAAAATATAAAACCAAAATGAAAGCATGCAAAGAACTTTTTATATTTGCAAAAGTGGGTTTAAATCAATGTTCAAGGTTTTAGAGTTTTGTTTAACGGAATTTTTAGTTTCTTTAACGGGTTAACACCTTCTACTTCTATCAGACTTTATAATCGTTCATCAATTATTAAAAACTCCATTTCTTGGTTTATAAAAATTTGTTCAAATTCTTCCATATGGACATAATTTATTACGCGACAAAAATAAAATATTAAAAAAAATCAAAAATCAAAAAACAAGAGTGCAAATTCAAGCCAAAGCTTTTTGAAGTTGATGGCATCACCAAATTTGAAATTCAAATTTCCGTACACTGAGATATGCAATTAATAATCAATGATCAATCAAATGTCATTTAACATATAGAGAGAAATGGTTTATGATTAATTCTAATTGAAACCAGTTTTTGGAAATTAACCACCTCAAAATACAGTATCGCCAATGCATCAGCATTTGTAATCAGGCAATAATCATACAAATGAAACCAAAATGTTATAAATTATGAAAAGAAAAATAGAAAATACAAGCAGAAGTTAGCTCAAGCCCTCTTTTTCCTAGCCAATGCAGGTCCCTTGCCAATGGTTGGAGCACCCTTGCCAGATTTAGGGACCAGCAGGCCTCGCATCAGGGCCAAAACACCAAATCCCAGAAAAGGGGAGTATATCATCAACAGTTTATCTGACGTCTTCGCGGATCCCACCATCTCCCCTAATATGGCAGCCTGAATTTAGAACAATGTTAATTACAAATTGTAATTGCAAAAATAGAGATGTCTGGAAATCAAAATTCGTTTCAGAGTACCATGACTTTAAACACAAACTCATCACAAATGAGTTATAAAAGCTGTTAGTTATTCACACTTACATACATGAACTATGCTTTTGTTTCCCTTCTGAGCTCCCATTGGCAAAAATTGATTGAATAACCAACCCAAACTCATTGACTCAAATCCAATCCGAATAATTTTAATGAAAATGTTTCTAGAACTTAAAATTGTATTGTCGATGTATAAAAACAACAATAATCCTTCAACATAAAACTAAAAGAGAAGAACAAAAAAAATGTGAAGAGGGTTTATTTTTATTCACCATAGAGGTAGTAAGAGAGGCACCGAAGAGGAGGCAGGTGGTGTTGAACCAAGGCTTGGAACCCAACATCCCATAAACGTTAAGTAAAGCGAGAGGCCAAAGAAAAGCAAGTTCTAGCCACACCAGGGCCACGAAAAAATGACGCTTCTCCACCACCAAAAAATCTTGGTACTCGCCTGCATACCATTTATTCATCCGAACGAGCAGGTCTGGGTATATGCTCTCAGGTAAACAAGTCTGCGAGTCAAATAAAGGAGCCACAACGGAGATTAGCACGAAAATTAGCAACAGGGTCGCGTCAACCACCTTGCAAAAAGCTCCCATTTTTGTTGTTGCAAAGAGAAGAAGAGAAAGAGATGGGAACAGGAAAAAGAAAAAAAGGGGTTGGATCTAATTTTTGACTTGTTGGTGGAGAAGGTGCGGTATTGGTCGGTACGACTAAATTATTATATCAGTAAATGCGTGCCAAATTGTGCCCCAATTATTTATTAGTTTCTTTCTAAGCTGGCTTGTTGTGTTTCAAACTGATCTTCCTGTTGTCATTAATATATTCTCTTATTTAAAATTCTATGATTTTTTTTTAATTTTTTTGGTACTAGAGATTATCAAAGATCCAGTCTGCTCACTAAAATACCTGTTGCTCAATTGCCATCAACTTGTGTACATAAGATAGCCAAATGATACAATTAAAAATCAAACATCAATCAGTACCATTTCATTTGACCATAGACAGAAATGGTTTATAAATTATAAACTAAAGCAACTGTTTTGAAACATATAGCAGTCGGCAATGCATTAGAACTCATAATCAGGAAATAATCATATAAAAGTGAAACAAAAGCATTCTAAATATGATGAGAAAGGATTACAAAAATTCGAGAAGATGATTTTGTATGTTCAACTCAATCCCACTTTTTCCTAGCCAGTGCAGTTCTTTTGCCAATGGTTGGATCCTGGACAGATTGTGGAACCAGCCCTCGCAGCAATGCTAAAACACCAACCCCCATGAAAGGACAGTACACCTTCAACAGTTTATCCGTTGCCTTCGGAGATCCCAGCAGCTCCCCTAATAAAGCAGCCTGATCAATTTGACACAAAACAGAGTACAAAATATGATTTTTAGGCTAGATGGATGGAAATATTTGAAGGCTACAAACTCAGAACAAAGAGTGATAAAAATGTGTTAGCCCATATCATTTTCAAGTCAATCTCGTTCATGTTATCAGCTAAGAAGAGTTGTATATATCACATTTCAGTTCATTGCAACTGCTTTAAGACATGTTCAATGTTCAATTTAGAATCCCATCATTAAGAAAAAAAAAAAAACCATTAAGATTTGATGAATGATAATAGGAGAAGTATAATTTTTTTTATGTACCATGGCGGTTATAACAGAGGCCCCGTAGATGAGGCAAGTGGTGTTGAGCCATGGCTTGGATGCCAAAATTCCATAAATGTTAAGTAAAACGAGAGGCCATTGGAAAACAAGCTCCAGCCAGACCAGTGCAACGAAGAAATGAGGCTTCTCCAGCCTCAAATAATCTTGGTACTCTTCGGCGTAGCTTTGCTTCAGACGGATGAGCACGTCAGGGAAGGTGGTCACTGGCAAAACCAACTGCGCATCAATTAAAGGTCCCGCTAACAACATCACCACGAACACCACCAACAGCACCGTGTCAACCACCTTGCATAGAATTCCCATTTCTTAATTTCAATATGGGTTTCTTTCTTTTTTTTTTTGGTGAATATTTTTAGAAAGAGAAGAGAATTGAAGAAAAAACGGGGTCTGGACCTAATGTTCTGCAAATTCTTAGAAGTTTTGAAATGGTCGACGCTGTTATTCAATTTTACATTTGTACCCCCTACACCTCCATAATTTCTATGCTATTAATCGATTAGTCAGTGGAAAATTAATGCTGATGCAAAGGTTTTGTGACTTTTGACCATTTCACTTGTTCTTGTTCACAAAGTTGCCATTTTCTTCCCATAATTTCTTTTTTTTTTTTTTTATAATTGAGGCCGTCAGATTTAAACTCTGATCACTAAAATTAAGAGTTTTCAAGATCATGTGACTGTTGCTGCAATTTGGATCCTACAATTTCTTGTTTCTGTAGTAATTAGGATGGAAATTTGTTGTCTTTTACTTGTCGAAAGAGATGTTGTTTGAATTGTATAAATGACAGTGATAGTCCAGCCTAATTTCCATATTTATCAAAATTTCCTTCGCCGAATTAATCATATGAAGTCAATTTTCGCTCATTAAAGGGATATTGATGCGCCTCTGATTTATGACTTCAGGCTTACCAGATTCCCTATGCAAACTGTATTACAGCAATTTGGACTTGCCAGTGAGATATTGGCTCTAATTGTGAGAAAAATGCCTTCCTTATTCAAGGAAACTGCTAGAGGTTGTCATTGACCATTATCGGGATGATTCATGATCAGTTGTTACATACCAGAAGCAGTCACCAGACTGCTGATCGATGGCATTTGATGGCTTCGTGGCCCAATTTCTATGCATAGTTTTTTTAATTACATTTGACTGTGATCTCAAGTTCTTTACCATGTCTAATCTTTTCTTTTTTATGCTGCCCTTTCCAGTTTTTGCACACCATTTTTGTTCAGAAATGCTTATGCTAAGCATGTTTCATGTAGGTTTCATGGATGCGAAGGCTTTGATCTATCAGTAAAAAGTGGCTGAGCTGAAAAGAAATATGCAAGCTCATATAGCATTTCATCTTTTTCACTTTTTTTTTTCAAAAACTGTTGAACAACTGAAATGTTATTCATCTTGGAAAATACAGGCTCTCCGCCACTGCTCAGTGAAACAACTCGAATCATCACCAGACCGATGAAAACATCAACTCTGGTGACCGGTTGGCTGAGACTTAATCTATTGGAATTTAGGCAGTTTGGCTATGTACAACATGAAGCTTAGAAATCAATGATGGGCTCTCCAATTGTAAGATTGCGCTCAACTGTCCAAGGCAGGTCAAAGAGTTTTGCTGTGATGAACTTGAAGATCTTGTTTACATTGATGTTGTATGTAGCACTTGAAAAGAACAGCGTCGCATTCAGGGCTTTTGCATATGCTCTTGCCTGCCATAAATGAGAAGCAAATTAAACTGCAATGAGAAATTTTTTCTTTGTAGTCAACAGTGAAGTTCAACAATTCAAATACTGACGGTTTCAAACAGCTTCCAACTACAACAAGAAGAGAAAATCTGTTTTTTTTCTTTTTGTACTTGAGACTATCAAGATTTAAACTTGATCACTAGAACTAAAATCTAGTCCTTTATCAATAGACCACATGGCTGTTAACAGGAAGAGATAGAGTCGTTTCATCTGTTGGGATTGTTGACTGGCTAAAATGAAGATATGAGAATTGGTGAAGGGTGAGAGATCACAATCAAAGGTGGTTAGTTGGCCTCAATGTGATCAATTAGCCAAGAGTCCATTCTTCCAGTTGGGGTTTGGGCCATGTTTGTCCCCTTATTTAGTTCATTTGTCCGATATGTTTGATTCTCAAGCATTGACTTGTTTGTCTCCAAGTTTCCCCTTTTTCTATGTTTACTCACCCAAATTGGTTTTACACCTGTTGGATTGATTCAGGATCTAAAAAGAATGGTAACAAAAATCATCGGAATAGCAATTTACCTGACTAGCGATTGTCCACTGCAAATCTATGGGAAGTTGAATGAAATCATCAAATTTGGTTCCTATCAATATCGGTATAGCTGTCTGCTCAATCAACGTTTGCACAATTAGAAGACATTTTACAGAAATTACATAAATATTTTATTCTTAAAACAGAAGCAGAAACCTGGAAAAAAAAGAATGGAAACTACTCTAATTAATGTAAAGATTTCAAATTTTCAACAATGCTATGGCAAATTGAATACCTGATTCCATTTCCTGGCTTCTTTGTACCAGCTTATGACACTGCAACCACAGAATAAAGACTCCTTCAATTTAGAAAACTACCCAGATTATGAAGTACCAGGACAGACATTGAGAAATATTACAATAATTCTTTTCCAATCTTGATTGAAATGGAGATATCGGACTGAATAATGTATGATCATACTTGTTTAGAGTACACCGGCTTGTTAGATCAAACATGAAAAGAATTGCTACAGAGTCTGTGCAAGCCAGAGGAATATGATCCTGATATTTGTCACCTCCTGCATTTTTAATTGAAAAATGAACTAGTTGTTGGTGTTATATCGGCAAAACCAATATGAAAACCTGAAATTTTTTAAAAGGAGCATGAAAAATGCATACCATCAACTTCCCAGATGCTGTAAAATATTCTTGCTCCTCTGACAAAAAAAGTTTTATCCTTCAAATTCAATCCTTTCTCTTGAGTGTCTTCCTGTTCCTCTTTCTCATCCCCAATATATTTCATCTTCAAAACCATGAGAAGATGCATTGATATTCAATTAAATGAAGCCAATAATTAGGAGGTTAAGCTAAAGACACTAACCAGAAAACTAGTCTTTCCAGTTTCAGGATCACCCAGGAGACTGATCTTCAATGGAACCAAATCCGAGTCCTTATGATCATGGTGGTTATGATCACAGGCGGCCGGCGGCGTCACGTTCCTCGATGCTGCAAAAGTGCCGTCGATTGTGGCAAGAGGCGGAGAAGGCATGGCGGGGGTGGCTGCACTTGATAACACTCGATACCTAATAGGCTTCCCTAAGGAGCACATGAGAAGTCTGTCCCAACAGCAACGAATGCAGCGTCGCAGAATCAAAACGCGACGATGAACTCTGCGTCTAAGGTTGAGTTTAACCATTTTAGGGCAAAAGTGGGTCATAATCTCTCACTGGATGGCCTCAACAAGAATTGCTGTGTCTATTTGGCCATGGAAAGAAAAAAAAAAAATCGTGGCTAAAAACACTTGCTCTCATATTTCCAAAACCTTTGGATATTTTTGGAACATGCTCAACTTTCAGTTACAACTTACAAAGAGACTTTTTAGCTACGAAAGTGACTACTTTAACGGGACAAGTTGACCGCTATTCTGGACAATAATTTTTGACATAGTCCAAATTGCCAGCTTGGGTCCACATCCTGTTGCATTCACATTAGGGTTATTTTGGTAACATTTCAGTTCTTTCCTCTTATAAATTTGCTGTAATTTCCCCCTCTATCTTTCTATTATTAACCTTGGATTATCCTAATCATTACCAAAAAATACATTATACCATGTGCTATACTATTTTTGTTAATTTCCCTTAATTAAAATTGTTACATATTGAATCCTAACCACTAAAATTTATCTTTTTATTTACAAAATATCTTATAATTTGAAAATAAAAAAAAAATTAAGATTGAAGGTATTAAATTTTTTTTTTAATGAATAAAAAGCACACTTGTCCTTGAAACGTGGGAGCAACTATTGTCGAGAAGTAGACGACACTGGATCAATTATTTGCCGACAAACTTTATTCCATACCCTTTAATAATTGAATCGAATCAAATCAATTGATTGGATACTTAGATCTTAAACTATAGGATAAAAATAGTTTTATCACATTCAATAAATGCCATAAATTTTAAAGAGATAGAAACAATTATGATAGAAAGATATTTTGTATCAAACATGGATTCAACTTAAAAAATGTCAAACTTGTTTATAATAATTTAGATTCTTTGTAAGATTAAAGTACAGATAAAATATATTTCATGGAGGTATTTTGGATATATAAATATAATAAAAATTTTTATTATTTTCAATTAATTTTATTATATATATTTGTCTTAAAATTTAACATGATATTAGAGCGTACCTTATTTTCTTTTGTTAACTATTTCATGAAAAGTTGTTATATTTTGACATAAAATTTATACAATGTGATAAATATGTTGTTTTACACAAAAATATAACAATAGTTTTTATTATTATTATTATTATTATTATTATTATCAAATGGTTTTAAGTTAGAATATATACATCTTCAAATTTAGCATTTCAACTAAATATTACAATTTCAATTAAATAATTTTTAAGATTTACAAATAATGCATTCATAAAATAAATCAATAAACAAATGATTATAAAATAAAATTAAATTCATATATGATAAAACTAGAACTTATTTAAATTTTAAAAAATGATCAGTCATAGTTAAAATAAGTTGCTAGAAAATTTTTAAAAATATCAAAATTTATGTGTATAATAATGAGATTCAAGAGCGCCAATTAAATTTGGTAAACAAAAAGAAGTACCAATCAAAGAAAGAAAAAGAAAAAAAAAATGTTATTCTCATTGTATCGCGGTTAGGAAATTCATCACCATACCGTTGAAGATTTGAGGTTGTTACACGTCATTTATTTTCTCTTTCAAACGAAACCCAATAGTTTTGGGCAAATTGGGTGGTACGGAAAGCATTTCTGCAACTCACAATTGGGAAACAACCAACCTACAATATGCCGATCAAAAACAAAAATTTACTACATTTCTGAAGAAAAATTTTGTTCACCAACGGACAAGGCCTGTAAGCAAAACTAAATTGAAGGAAAAGTATTGCAAGTCCCGTTAATGGGAAAATTTCAGCTATTGATAGCTTTATTTGCATTCACATTATACAAAAGACGGAAATCTTGGAATGGCATGAGGCTCCCAACCAACGAATTTACTGCTTAATCAAGTTTCTAATGACATATGGAAGTATACCTCCATTGTTGAAGTAGGCCAATTCAACCTGCAATGGCAGACAGTCAGCTGTGGTATTATAGAATTCATACTAAAAACGTGTAAAATGTATGTATAACATTAAGGGTTGAATCTGACATAAGCTTCTAACAGGAAGCATTTAGAAAGGAGAAGAGATAGAAGAGAGCGAGAAATTGATTCCCCATAAATATTTGAAACCATTTATTACCTCAGTGTCGAAGCGGACAGTGCAGGTGAAAGACTTCCCATTGTCAGTTGTGACAGTCACATCTTGGCCAGGCCTTATATCAGTTATTTTGCTTGGGAGATCTATGGTATAACGCTCGTGACCGGTCAGACCTAGTGTGTCTGCGTCCTCACCAGATTTGAAACAGAGTGGAATAATGCCCATTCCTACCAAATTACTGCGATGGATTCTTTCAAAACTTTTTGCAATTACTGCTTTTACTCCCTGTTATTCAACAAAGTTAGACAAAACAGGAGCCCAATAAGAATTTCTTTGTTGTGGCCAAATCAAGACTTACCAATAGCATTGGACCTTTCGCAGCCCAATCTCGAGAGCTACCGCTTCCGTACTCAGCTCCAGCCAAAACAATGGTGTCATGTCCTCCATCCTTGTACCTCTGAAATTACAGATTAAGTGCAGAGCTTAGTATTGAATAATTTGACTGCAGTTAAAGATTCATATTATATTCAAGATAAATATCTGATGCTGATTAAATCGTATTTCATACCAATTGAACCAAAAATTTGATTCTAATATTGACAATAATTGATTGGTTATCGTTTTTACTTGAAAACAAAAATTCTATGTAATGGAAAATGACAAGCAGAGCTAAGAAATCAAGATTTGTTTGTATTAAAATAACAAATTGGTATTATAAGAAATTGTAGTAGATTGAAGAACTCACCATTGCAGCATCAAATACACAGAGTTTCTCTCCTGTAGGGACGTGTATTGTCTTCGGACCCACTTCCCCATTCGACAGCTTGTTCACAAGGCGAATATTAGCAAAAGTTCCCCGAGCCATCACTTCATCATTACCACGACGACTTCCATAAGAATTGAAGTCCTTGCGCTCCACCTGACGGTCAAGTAGGTATTTTGCAGCAGGACTGTCCTTATGGATGCTTCCTGCGGGAGAAATGTGATCTGTTGTGATACTGTCACCAAAGTTCAGCAAGCAGTAGGCATCCTTCACGCTATGGGCTCCAGGAGGCTCCATGGTCATGTTCTTGAAGTATGGAGGCTCATGAATGTAGGTTGAGTTGGGGTCCCATGAGTACATGGTGGAAGAAGGCACTGAGAGCTGATTCCACATGGGATTGCCCTTTGTAACAGCCTCATAAGTACTTTTGAACATATCAGGCAAGACACTGGATTGAACAGCCTAAACAGCAGAGAAGCCCAAGATTATTAATTTAGTGCTTAAACACATGAAAATGGAAATTTTATGCAAATTTTAGGGTGTCTACCTCTGCAATTTCTTCAGTAGATGGCCAGATATCCTTGAAATAGACACTCTTACCATCCTTCCCAGTTCCAATTGGCTCCTTATCAAAGTCAATATCAACCTGGAAAATGGTCATAGTTACTCATTGATCATCAAGAATGATACTGCAAAAGCTGCTAGTCTTTTATCAAAAAAAAGAGAGCAACAAAACTAGGAAATTTTCAAAGATCTCCACCAAAAGATTGCTTCCTAAGTAATTTTGACACTCATGCTGTCATCTTAATGCACAAACCAACAAACAAAGCAGCAGTTGAGGCAAGATTTGAGTCATATTGTGGCTAATATACATACGGCATGAAGAAGAATTAGTTATTATAGAACACAAAAAGTACTAGCATGCACATATTCCAACAGCTCTACTACTAAAATTACATTTCCACACACCATTAAAAGGCTACGAGATTTGACTTGAAGCACAGTTATACATTGCATACAATGTTTGTCTTTTACCATCCAACAATGCAAATGAAATGAAATGCTCTGATCTATCTGAGTCAATGACAGTCTTCGACTCAATGCTTGTCTTTTACCATCCAACAATGCAAATGAAATGAAATACATGATCTATCTGACTCAATGCCAGTATTCCAGACCCTAAAGGAGATAAAATTAAGAAAGCTTAAGAACAGGTTAAGACTTACAAATAATTAAATAAAACATGGTGAAAAACAACTGATACATTTTTAGCAAGGAAAATTAAATCCAGATGCACAAGAATTAACTAATTTACAAGATAACCACCATTAAACCCTCCAACAATCTGAGTTGACATCAGATTATATGGATTATATAATGAGAACATAAATCTTAGTAAATATTTAGCAAATATAAGCGTCACCAGTAAACAATTAGATATTATGTACCGTGCCAGCAAGGGCATATGCAACCACTAAAGGTGGTGAAGCAAGGTAGTTGGCTCTTGTTAAGGCATGAACACGACCCTCAAAATTCCGGTTCCCAGAAAGCACAGCAGACGCTATAATGTCTGTGTAGAATATTAGATTAGTAACTAAAAAGCAGGACATTAAATTTGGCAAAGGAATATGATTAACACATTAAAAAGCGTGGCACAATGTTCGGGTATTTGCAAGCTTACATCATGCAAATTATGAATACAATAAAAGTTTTACAGTTATGAATTTCGATGGTACCATTTTCAGAAATAGCAGAGGCAACTGATTCATCCAATTCCCCTGAATTTCCAATACATGTTGTGCAGCCATATCCAACAATATTGAAGCCCTGCTTATTCAAATATTCTTGCAGCCCACTGCACCAAATAAACCAAAATTAATAAACAATTCTCTCATAATTATATAGAAATACTTTATAAAAAAATTATATAACTCCAAATCCACTTCAGATACAAGTAGAAATTAAGGAATACCTCTGCAGTAAATATTTCGTAACAACTCCCGAACCTGGTGCAAGACTTGTCTTTATCCAAGGCTTGACCTGTAGAACAATTATTTAAGCAAATTTATCTACGCACATTAATATTAACATTGATATGGTTCACGGAAAGGCAAGGAAGAGTGAATACAATGAAAAGAGATTTTCTTTGTTTTTAAGAAAAAAGAAAGAGTAGGAGATATTGTAGAGAAGGAAGAAGCAGCACAAACATATAACTATATAAATACCAAACCTGTAAACCAAGTTCACAAGCCTTTTTTGCAACAAGACCTGCCCCAAGCATGACACTAGGATTTGATGTATTGGTGCAGCTCGTGATTGCAGCAATCACAACACTGCCATGCTTAAGCTCTGCTGGCTGCCCGTGGAACGAAAATTTTGCCACTTTGTCCTGTGCCTCTTTTGGCACAGCAAACCCCTACAACATGGTAAGACATTCAGCAGAATGTTTAAAAGTTTTAACAGAAAGTGAATAATTCTATTATATTTATACCTGGAAGGAAAGAAGTTCTGATCAAACTCGGTCTCTTTCATTTCCTAACTAATCTTATTATTTTATCCTTTATTTTTCTACCATGTGGTTCTGGTGCTTGAG